TTTTTTTTTTTTTTTTTAGTTTCTCACTGTTCACTATTGGTGTATAAGAATGCCATAAATTTCTGGATATTAATGTTGTATCCTGTTACTTTGCCGAATTCATTGATTAAATCCAGTAGATTTTTGATGGGATCTTTAGGGTTTTCTTTGTACAATATCATGTAATCTGAGAATAATGACACTTTCACTTCCTCCTTTCCATTTTGGATGCCTTTTTTTTTCTTCTTGTCTAATCATGGTGGCTAAGACTTCCAGTATTATGTTGAAAAAGAGTGGCAAACCTGGGTGTCTTGTTCCTGTTAAGGAAAATGCTTTTAGTTTTTGCGCATTGAGTATACTGTTGACTGTAGGTTTTTCATATATGGTCTTTGTTATGTTCAGATATAATCCCTCTGTGCCAACTTTGCTGAGTATTTTTATCACAAATGGGTGCTGGGTTTTGTCAAAAGCTTTTGCAGAATCTATTGTTATGATCATATGATTTTTATCATTTTGTTTACGTGGTGTATCATATTTATTGATTTGTGAATGTTGGACCAGCCTTGCATCCCTGGGATGAGTCCCATTTGGTCATGGTGAATAATTTTTTAAATATATTGCTACATGCTCTTTGCTAATACTGTGTTGAGGATTTTGGCATCTGTGTTCAACAGGGATATTGGCTGGTAGTTTTGTTTCTTTGTAGTATCTTTATCTGGTTTTGAAATTAGGATTATGCTGGCCTCATAAAAAGAGCTTGGAAGTCTTCCTTCCTCTTGAATTTTTTTGGAATAGTTTGAGGAGAATGAGTGTTAGTTCTTCTTTGAATGTTTGTTAAATCTCCCCTGTCAAACTAACAACATTTTATATAGAATACATTCTGTCATATTACAGTGACAAATTGTACTTTATAGAAATTTGAAAGAGCCAAGTTTGAATTTAGAATTCTTGGCCTCCTCAGAGTTTTGCACTAGAATATAACAGCATAGATAGCTGGACCCTGTCCCAATGTGCATCTCTTTTTCTTTCTTCTTTCAATTCTGTATGTGCCATAATGGCTCTTGTGTATAAATTTGTGGGTACCTCAGCTCATGTAATTAATATTGGTCTACATCTTCCCCTTAATAGCCACCTCTTAGTTACCCTTCAATTCCAGGAGTCTTACAATGGAGAATTGACGTTCCGAAGAGTTCTAGGAAAGCACTGGAAATGGGATCAAAGCACTTTGGGTTGTGGATTTTGGCATCTCATGATTGGGGAACATGGATGGGGGTGGGCTCCACGCAGTCCTATCCCATTGGGCTGATGTCCTCCCTGCACATGCAGAGAGACAATGCCAGAGGAGATTGAGACTTAAGGCCCTAGAAAGTATGAGGCCCAGGACCAAAAGCCCTCTTTCCTGTATGTAAGGGTATGTGTTAGGTTGGGGAATCCCAGACTCTGAGACCAGGTTTGAGATCAATAGTTTGAGAAGTGATCTCAGGAACCATAGGTACAAATATGAGAAAGTTAGAAACAGCAAAGAGATGCAGCTAATTCAGAGAGTAAATGAACAGTTGCCAATATGAGTTATTTGGGATCAGTGTTACTGGGGATCTCTAGGAGTTTATAGAGAATTCACCCCAGAGTTATTCTAAGCAAAAGACAAAGAAGCTGGGTTATTTTTTTTCACCAGTATGATATATTATTTGTTGAGGACTACAGCTGCTGATATTATCTGTCACTTATGGCCTGATCCGTGTGAGTTCCCTCCTGTGGCAAAAGTAAATCATCAAGAAGAATGTCTTAGGCTTGGCAGGTTTCAGTTGGAGTGTCATCCCGTAAACCAAAAGTTTGCAGGTTTGATTCCTGATTAGAGCACTTACATCTCATATCAATGTTTCTGTCTCTCTCTTCCTTCCTCTCTCTGAACATATCCTCAAATGAGGTTTTAAAAAATAAGAAGAATGTCACAGTTATCTATAAAGCCACTGACCTACAGGAAAGATTTAAATTGAAGGTGACAGCCCAGCCAGTGTGGCTCAGTGGTTGAGCATCAACCCATGCACCAAGAGGTCATCAGTTCGATTCCTGGTCAGGGCACATGCCCAGGTTGTGGGCCCAATCCCCAGTGGGGGGCATGCAGGAGGCTATCAATCGGTGTTCTCTCTCATTAATGTTTCTATTTCTCTCTCTCGCTAAAAAATCAATAAAGGAAAAAAAAATTAAATAAATAAATGAAAGGTGACATGGCAGGATATGGATAGTGCCTGCTACAATTCAGAATTGGAAAGAACTTTGAGAAAATGTGTCTCTAAAAGAGAATAATTGTATAGCAACATGATGTGAGGAGTAAAATTTCCAACTTTCTAAAAATCAAGGTAGTTTCTACCCCTGCTATTTTATATCTAAGGGAATGTGCATACTGGCTAATGAATACCTTCATCTAGAAGCTATTTCTGGTTAATAATATATGATGATATTACTACTTATGTTTCTGGCATGAATCAATTAAATTATTTTAGATGTTTAAGAAAAAAACAAATATTATTTTATCAATATACTTTCAAGTACAGAACTTTCTTTTCTATGAATTCTACTTTATAGTGGATTTGTTTTTTGATTTGTAAGGGAGAGGGGCTGGCACTGTGCATTCCTCAGGGTCTTTGCTCATGAACATTTCATGAATCAGAAAATGTACACTTAAAAATGTCCTTAGATTTCACTTCCAGACTCAGTATCATTAGGAAATAAAGATGTTTAGGGAAAAGGGAACACTGTATAATATAAAACTCTTGACAGAAGCTTTATATGTGAATGTGTACATATGAATTATTGTTTACTATTAAATGGCTAGTTATTCTTTATCCTTGATGAAAATAATAATTGCTGTTGAATTCCTTAAATTTCCTATTTTAAGCAGTGTAATTTTTTTCTTTATTGATTTGAGAGAGAGAGAGAGCAACATCCATGAGAGAGAACATCAATTGGCTGCTTCCTAGGGATTTGGCCCACAACCTGGGCATGTGCCCTGACCAGGAATCGAACTGGGACCTCTTGGCGCATGGGTCAATGCTCAACCACCGAGCCACACCGGCTGGGCAGCAGTTTAATTTTCTTCAATTTGCCTAATCTAAATATTTTCACTTCAGTCTGTTCATGTAAGAGAAAAGGGAACTTTCTTTATATCTGTTAATAAAGCAATAGATTTTGATCAAATCATTATCTCACCTGGTTTGTTCTAATGATGTTGCCACAACTTAAGTACTTGTTTCAGAATGAAAGTAATCAATAAATAACAGATGATAAAATGTACCTGGAGTCATTCTTGAAAAAAAGAACTTTTATTCTAAAATTTGATTTGTACTTGAAAAGGATTGGATAATAATAACAGCATTCTGACAGACTTTATTTCCCCCTTAGTCCAGCTGAGAATCTTGGACTTTGGTTAGATGTAATATAGATTTCAAATGTAATCCATTAACAGTGTGTTTTAATATACAGTACATAGCATTCTACATAATATATATGACATACAGCAGTATACAATATGCAATATATGCTATAAAATATATACTTAATATATTTTATAATATATAGCACATAACATGTAACTTATAGCATACACATACAAATTCTCAATTTATTTGAACAATGATATAAAGCAGTTAATGTTCTTACAGGAGTGAATGATTGTTATGAGACAGAGCACCCATAAGTCATGGAAATCTGGGAAACAGATTTTTTTTTTTAAATATATTTTTATTGATTTTTTTTAAAGAGAGGAAAGGAGGGAGAGATAGAAACATTGATGTGAGAGAGAAACATCTATCCACTGCCTCCTGCATGCCCCCTACTGGGGATTGAGCCCGCAACCTAGGCATGTGCCCTAACCAGGAATCAAAATGGGACCTCTCAGTCCTTGGGAGGAAGGTCAATGCACCGAGCCACAGCGGCCAGGCATGAATGATTTTCTTGGTGTACAAATTTCAGTGTGTTTGAAAACAAGTTTGCCTTTTTTAACATTTAAGTTGTTAAATGTGGGTCAATTAAAATTATAGCCAGTTAGTGTCATAATACCTGTCTGGTCAATTGGTTGATAAGCTTGATTTGTTTTCTTGGTTTGAGAGAACGTTTTTGCAGAATTAGGCTTCTATATATTGTTTTTATCATTTATTTTTCATCTATTACGTACTTTGGCATTAGCAAAATTTGTATTCTTATATTGCATCCTACTTTAAGGTTGAGAGGTTTTTTTCTTTATATCTTCTTTTTCATTTAATGGAGAATAAGGTAATGCTGATCTTCTGGAAAAAGGTAGTATTGCTTGGAAGGAAAGGAACTGCACAGATAGCCTACCCATCATAACAAATTATGTTACCTATTAATTTAGGGCAAATGGTATAACAAGGTAATATGAGAAGTATTAATTGGACATGCCTCTTTGTGCTTGCCCTTGGTTATTAACTATGAACAAATTACTTCTATCTGCTGGTCAAGTCACAAATTATTTTGATTGTTATGAGACAGAGCACCCATAAGTCACGGAAATTTGGGAAACAATAATGCTTACCAAACATTCCCTACATATATGTCTTATTTCTCAGCCCCCATTCAGTTAGATAGAATGAGGTAACTGGTTCTGGCCAACTAAATATATGTGATACTTTTGGGCTGAGGCCTAAAAAGAACTTGAGCAAACTTCTAGCCACTCCTGTCGCCCTGACCTGTCAGGGAAGGAGGTAAGGTATTTCTGATGGCACTGCTGCAAAGTGGTATTTTTTATAGCATGGGTCCCTGACTGACTTTATGGAGCAGACCTCCCTCTGACCTATCAGTGACTTATATGTCATTGATAAATAAACTTGCTTGTGATGCCTTGAAGTTTTAGGGGTAGTATGTTACCTAGGCATAACCTAATCTCTTATAGATTATACAATTAAATACAATAATATTAAATGTTGCTTTACCCCAAAATGAATTTAAGGATTTATGCCATTTAAAATAATTAAATGATTTTTAAATTATTTTGATAGTTCCAGATGGATGTTTTCCTGTTTCTTTACAATTTTCTCCTCGCTGTCCTGGACGCTACCCTTGTAAAATTTTGTTGACGTCAAGATATGATGTGCGTCTCTATTACATTGAAGGCGTGGCGAATGATGAACATCCAGAGGCTAGATTTGACTTTGAAACACCAGCATTTGAAGCCCTTACCCAGAATATTCCAATCGTAAGTATGAACATTTTTTTTTGTATTTTTCTTTATTCCCACTGCCACTATCTCAAAGTCCTCCAAACCTCTCATCTTAAACTATTACCGATCTCTTTTTTTAAAATATTTTTTTACTTATTGATTTTAGAGAGAGAGAAAAAAACATTGCATATTTCCACTTATTCATGCATTCAGCGATTGATTCTTATATGTGCCCTCAACAAGGATCGGAGAGAGAAAGAAACATTGTGATTAAGTCTTATATGTGCCCTGACCAGAGATCAAACCCACAACCTTCATCTATTTCTAATTGCATCATCTTTTGCTATTTGTTTTTCTATATTGATGTCAGAGTTTTATTCCTGAATATAAATGTCATCATGTTACTCACCTGATTAATCACTTACGCTGGATCTCTTTCCTGAAAAAATTAACTTTAACTTCTTTAACCTGTCATCAAATTCCTACTCAAAAGCCATGCCTCCTGGCTCCACGAAGTAGAGAAGTGGTCTCTAAGATCACTCTGCTCCAAATTCAGTTGGAATCTTGACATTTATTAAGATGGATCATAGGCATTAAGTATAATGATTGGAGGAAAAGCCTCTGTGACCCAACAGGGACAGTGCCATCCAATTACCCCTGGGAATGGCGGGCTGCTGAAGCACCCGAGAGGACTGTGCCACCCAGCAGGGACTGTGCCATCTAGTTACCCATGGGGAATGTGGGGTGCTTAAGCACCAGGGAGGCCTGCATGACCCAGCAGAGACTGTGCCATCCAGTTACCCGTGGGACCTGTGGGGTGCTGAAGCACCAGAGAGGTCTGTGCCACCCAGGAGCCCATAACATAGGCATAGAGCCTGGTCCTCAAAGGGACTGTAAAATCCAGTTACCCACAGGACCTGCAGAGTGTGGGGGCACCAGAAAGGCCTGTGTGACCCAGCTGTGCACAAGATAGGCTTAGGGGATGTGAAAATGGAGACAAAGTGAATAGAAGCTACTCCGATGATCTCCCAGGACCAAACGGGAATTACAACTAAAATAAAGACAAATCCTCAGAAAAAAGCAACAGAAAGCAGCAGGACAGGACCATATAACCAGGGACACTGGTACAATCGACAGAGGCATGAGAGGGTGGCTGGCTGGGAGCCCATGGACAGCAGCAGTCTTAGCTGTGAGCAGTGCCCTTGGGGAATAAAGACCACACCCGCTCCACAGTGCAGAGAGCCAAGACAGAGCACTAAAATAGCCCAGCCACCCACCTGGGGCTACAGCAGAGGGAGGGCAGACTGGGCTGAAACTCTGTGGGGATACCTAGAACTTGGAGGGCGCTCAGAGTTTTCACTGAGTTGCGGCCACAAAGGATGGTGGCCAGTGTGCACCTTCCCAGAGCTGTGGGGAAAAGCAACAGTCACCCCACCCCCACCCCGCCCCCGGAGATTCAGCCTTTCCCAGGTGAGGCAAAGAAATGCAAATTGAGGCTCATTAATAACCAGCATCTATCCCACCCTCTGTAATTCTCCTATGCAGAACACCAGGGATACATTACAAGGCACTGAGTAACTGAGACTACTAGCCTCCAGGAAAAAGCTAGAGGATAACTGAACCTTTCCTGGGCTTGCAAATCTACCCAAGAAAGTAAGACTTGACAGTGGCATTTAACATAGGCCCACCCAGGCTCATCCAAACCCAGTAGAGGGAGCCACAAACAGCAGAACACAAACATCCACAGGGAAAACTTGGCAGGCTTCAAAATCCACTGAGATAGCCAAAATGGTGAAACAAAGCAACAAATCCCAAAGAAAGAACAAGAGAACTCTATCGAAGATGAGATCAATGAAATGCAGCTAAGCAAATTATCAGAGGTAGAATTCAGAACCATGATCTTGAGGAAGCTCAACAGCACCATGAGAAAAGATATAGAAACATTGAAAACCAACCAAGTGGAAATGAAGAATGACATAGCAGAAATTAAGAACACATTGGAAGGACTAACCATCAAAGTAGAGGAAGCTGAGGACTGGATCAGTGAATTAGAAGACAGGGTAGAAAAAAATCAACCAATCAGAAAACCAGAAGGAAAAAAAAAGACAATTAAAAAACAGAAAGACAGCTTAAGAGAACAGTGGGACAACTGGAAACGTAATAAAATTCGCATCATAGCAGTGCCCGAAGAGGAAGAAAATAGGTACGGGTTAGAGAATATATTTGAAGAAATAGTGACAGAAAAATGTCCTAACTTGGTGAAGGAAGAAGGCATTCAAGTTTAAGAAGCACAGAGAGCCCCAAGTAAAAAGAACCCACACAGCCTCACACCAAGACACATAGTAATTAAAATGCCAAAAATTAAAGACCAAGAGAGAATCCTAAAGGCAGCAAGAAGTAAGTAACAGGTTGCCTACATATGAAACCCCATAAGGCTCTCAGCTGACTTCTCAGCAGAAACTCTACAGGCCAGAAGGGAGTGGGATGAAGTAACCAAGGTCATGAAAAACAAGGATGTGAATCCAAGACTATCCAGCAAGGCTGTCATTCGAAATAGAAAGCCAAATAAAGAGCTTTCCAGACAAAAATAAGGCTAAGGGAATATATTAACACCAAACCAGCACTGCAACATATGCTAAGAGGACTGCTGTAATTAGTAGAAGAAATAGGAAGAAAAATAGAACCACACTAAACAAAAATGGCAATAAATAAGTACATATCAATTATCACCTTAAATGTGAATGGTTTGAATGCTCCCATAAAAAGACACAGAGTAACTGACTGGATAAGAAAGCATGACTCACATATATGTTGTTTACAAGAAACCAGCCTCATAACAAAAGACTCACATAGGTTGAAAGTGAAGGGATGGAAAAAAATCTTGCAAGCAAACGGAAAGGAAAAAAAAAAAAAAAACTAGTGTAGCAATACTCATCTGATAAAGTAGATTTCAAAATGAAGGCCATAACTAGAGACAAAGAAGGCCACTACATAATATTGAAATTATCTATCCAACAGGAAGATATAAACTTGGTAAACATATATGCACCCAATTTAGGAGGACCAACATATAGATCTCTTGGAGGACTTCAAAGGAGAAATCAACAGCAATACAATCATAGCAGGGGACTTCAATACCCCACTGACACCACTGGATAGACTTTCTAGACAAAAAATTAACAAGGAAACACAGACTCTAAATGAAGCGCTAGATCAAATGGATTTAATAGGTATCTACAGAGACCCCCAAATGGCAGAATTTACATTTTTCTCAACTGCACATGGAACATTCTCAAAGATAGACTTCATGTTAGGGCACAAACTAAAGTCTCTACAAGTTCAACAAGACTGAAATCATATCAAGCATCTGCTCAGATCACATTGACATGAAATTAGAAATCAATAGCAACAAGAACATGAAAAGACATTTGAAAACATGGAGGCTAAATAGCATGTTACTAAACAAGGAATGGGTTACCATGGAGATCAAGGAAGAAATTAAAAACTTCTTGGAACCTAATGGAAATGAACACACAACAACACAAAATCAATGGGATGCAGTGAAAGCAGTTCTGAGAGGGAAGTTGATAGCACTATAGGCCTACCTCAAGAATCAAGAAAAATTTCTAATAGACTATCTAACCTAACAATTTAAAGAAGTAGAAAGCGAACAAAAAGAAAACCCCAGTGCAAGTGGAAGGAAGGAAATAGTAAAGATCAGAGCAGAAATAAATGACATGGAGACCAAAAAAACAATTCAAAGGATCAATGAAACAAAGAGCTGGTTTTTTAAAAGATAAACAAGATTGATGGACCCTTAGCTTGACTCACCAAGAAACAAAGAGAGAGAACCCAAATACACAAAATCATAAATGAAAGAGGAGAAATAATAACTGACACCACAGAAATACAAAGGATTGTTAACAAATATTATGAACAATTATAGGGCAACAAATTCGACAATCTAAGTGAAATGGACCAATTTCTAGAAACACATAGTCTCCCAAAACTGAACCAGAAAGAGATAGAAAACTTGAACAGACCAACAACAACAGAAGGAATTGAAGATGTAACCAAGACTCTCCCAGCAAACAAAAGCCCAGGCCCAGATGGCTTCATGGAGGAATTTTACCAAACATTCAAAGAAGAACTAATACCCATTCTCCTCAAACTATTTCAAAAAATTCAAGAAGAAGGAAGACTTCCAAAGCCTTTTTTATGAGGCCAGCATAATTCTCATTCCACAACCAGAAAAAGACACTACAAAGAAAGAAAACTACAGACCAATATCCCTGATGAACATAGATGCCAAAATCCTGAACAAAATATTAGCAAATAGAATCCAGCAATACTAAAAAATTATTCATCATGACCAAGTGGGATTCATCCCAGGGATGCAAGGCTGGTACAATATTCACAAATCAATAAATGTGATATACCACATAAACAAAATGAAAGATAAATATATGATCATATCAATAGTCGCTGAAAAAGCATTCAACAAAATCCACCTCCCATTTCTGATAAAGACGCTCAGCAATCTGGGAATAGAGGGATCATATCTTGACATAATAAAGAGCATATATGAAAGACCTAAAGCCAACATCATACTCAATGGGCAAAAACTAAAAGCATTTCCCTTAACAATAGGAACAAGACAAGGATGCCCACTTTCACCACTCTTGTTCAACATAGTACAGGAAGTCTTAGCCACAGCAATCAGACAGGAAGAAAAAATAAAAGAGATCCAAATTGGAAAGGAGGAAGTGAAACTGTCATTATTCGCAGATGACATGATACTATACGTAGAAAACCCCAAAGACGCCATCAGAAATTTACTAGACTTAATAAATGAATTTGGCAAAGTAGCAGGATATAAAATTAACACCAAGAAATCTGTGGCATTCTTATACACCAATGATGAAGTCACAGAAAAAGAAACTACGAAAAACAATTTTGTTTACCATCACAGCAAAAAATTAAGTTACCTAGGAATAACTTAACCAAAGAATTAAAGGACCTATTTGCAGAAAACTACAGGTCATTGAATAAAGAAATAGAGGAAGACATAAAAAGTGGGAGCACATACCTTGTTCATGGATTGTAAGAATTAATATCATTAAAATGTCCATACTACACAAAGCAATCTATAGATTCAATGCAATCTTGATCAAAATATCAGAGACATACTTCACAGAACTAGAACAAATACTTCAAAAGTTCATATGGAACAAGAAAACAAACAAACAAACAAACAAAAAAACCCAGAGTCACCACAGCAGTCTTGAAAAAGAACAAAGTTGGAAAGATCACATTCCAGATTTCAGGTTATACTACAAAGCCACTGTAATCAAAACAGACTGGTACTGGCAGAAGAATAGGCAAATAGATCAATGGAACAGAACAGAGAACCCACATTTAGATCCAAGACAATATGCCCAATTAATATTTGACAAAGGGGTCAAGAACATACAGTGGAGTAAAGACAACCTCTTTACTAAGTGGTGTTGGGAAAATTGGACTGCTACTTGCAAAAAAAAAAAAAAAAGAAACTAAACTATCAACTTACACCATACACAAGAATAAACTGAAAATGGAAAAAAGACTTAAATGTGACTCATGAATCCATAAAAATTCTAGAAGAAAATATAGGCAACAAAATTTCAGACATCATACGTAGCAAAATTTTTACAGATACATCACCTAAGGCAACAGAAACAAAGGAGAAAATGAACAGATGGGACTAGGTCAAACTCAAAAGCTTCTGCACAGCAAAACAAACAAACAAACAAAAACAAAAACAAAACACCAAAATGCAAAGGCAACCCACTGTATGGGAGAGCATAATTGCCAATGATACATCAGATAAGGGGTTAATGTCCAAAATATAAAGAGTGCTCATACAACCCAACAGAAGGAAGACAAATAATCCAATTAAAATGGGCAGCCCTGGCTGGTTTGCCTCAGCGGTTAGAGCATCAGCCTACAGTCCAGAGAGACCTGGGTTCAGTTCCCGCTAAGGTCACGTTCCTCGGTTGCATTTTTTCCTGGCCCTGGTTGGGTCGTGTGGGTGGCAACCTCTCAGTGTGTTCCTTTCATGTTGATGTTTCTCTCTCTCTCTCCTTCCCACTCTATCTGAACAAAAAATGGAAAAATGTCCTTGGGTGAGGATAAAAAAAAAAAGGGTAGAAATAGACACCTCTCCAAACAGGATATACAAATGGCTAAGAGACATATGAAGAAATGCTCATCATCACTGATCATCAGAGAGATGCCAATTAAAACAATAATGAGCTATTACCTTACACCTGTCAGAATGGCTGCCATCGACAAATCATCAAATAACAAGGGTGAGGGTGTGGAGAAAAGGGGACTCTAGTACACTGCTGGTGGGAATGCAGACTGGTGCAGCCACTATTGAAAACAATATGGTGTTTCCTAAATAAATTAAAAATTGAACTTTCATTTGACCCAGTGATCCCACTTCTAGGAATATACCGTGAGAAGCCTGAAACACCAATAAGGAAGGATGTATTTACCCCCATGTTCGTAGCAGCAGTAGCTAAGAGCTGGAAACAGCCCAAATGTCCATCCGTAGATGAATGGATAAAAAAGCAGTGGTACATATACACAATGGAGTACAATGCAGCTCTAAGAAAGAAAGATCTATCGTTTGAGACGACATGGAAGGATCTGGAATGTATTATTCTTAGTGAAAGAAGCCAAACAGAGAAAGAGAAGTATCATATGATCTCACTTATTTGTGGAATATAATGAACATAATAGTCTGAGGAATGGGGTAGTCTCAGAGACGTGGAAGTGGGATACAGACTGTCAATTCCCAGAACAGGGGTGGGGTGGGGGAATAAACCACAGAACTTATATGCATGTGTGCATGAACAATGGACATGGACAACAAAGCTGGGGACAGGGTGATGAGGGAGGGGGACGGAGGATTCAGTGGGGGAAAAAGGAGAAACATCTGTAATAAAAATTAATTAATTAATAAGAAAATATCCCATTAAAAAATTTGCTCCGATGAGATATGTAACCTTTGCTATCTGAACAATCAACCAGTTAGAACACTTTTTAAGACCCATTATTAGAAGTAAAACGTGTAACTCCAAGACCATTTTATCATTTAAACAATTAGTAAGTCTAACAAAGGAATATTCCTTTAGATATTGAAAAATCTATAGATCAACCTGTTAAGCAATGTTTCTGTATGATATTGAAAGGGCATATAGTTATTCTTGTGCCTCATATTTATGTTTTTGATAGTTGTTCTTAACAAATATGACATTCAAATGGTGATTCTTAAGAAATACTATTCAAATTACAATATACAACTTTGTGAGAAGCACTAAGAATTAATATGTAATTCAACTTTATAAATGTCATCTTTCTGATATTTCTCTACCCTTTTCATGCTTCAGGTGAATAAAACAGAGAATGAATGGAAATGTCAAGTAACTATAGAAGGAGAATGTTTTTATGGACCTCTTAATTTTTCTGTTGGACCAGGTGAAACTGCACAATATCCTCTCACATTCAAACCTCTTTTGGAATGTGAGATTATGGTATGAATTCATTGATCATTTTTACCCAGTATTAATGTATCAATAAAACAATGTATGATATTCAGTTATATAATTTATGGTAAATCTCTTTGCAGGAAAGTTATATTTTCATGAATTTGATCTTTAGAGTTCACTCTGCTTGAAACTCTCTCTAATAAATGTCTTAACTTGAAGGATAAACATTATGAAAATTGCAATGCCATTGCAATTAAATCTAGATTACGTTTATGTGACACACTTAACAAAATAAAATCATAGCTCCTATTGTTTTTATTAAGGATGTTGTATTTCAGAAATTATTTTCTGAAGCCATATTTCTTTGACAAGGATGTAAACACACACATACTTGCTATTTAAGATAATACATATATAACTGTATTTAGAGAAAATAAAGAGAAATAATTAGGTTTTCACGGGAAATTCAACTTCTCGTTTAGTAGATGTATTTGCACATAAACTACAAGAATGATTGGCTGACACTTCCTTAAATGCTCATTTATTAATCAAACTCAAGATTAATAGGATAGTAGAGGTTGTTTGGCATCCAACTGTGACTTCTGTAGAGCTGAAATTTGATTGATTTGTCAAATCACAGGGCAAACTTACTCTACAAAATAAAATAGATGGCATGGAGCATGTCTTTATCATGAAAGGGATTGGTAAAAGCCCCGCGGCCTTTGAACACATCATTGCAAACTGTCGTTTGGGAATCCCAGAAGATAGAACCATAATGGTGCCCAATTATACAAAGAATATCGTAACATTTAAGGTAAGCTTTTTTTGTTTTTTGTTTTTTGTATAAAAGTATTTTCAGAAGGACTATATTGAATTATATGGAATTTTAAAAACATTTAATTTTATTTAGCTAGGTGAAGTAATGACACATAAAGAGTGTTTAGAATTCTACTTTTTATTAGTCTAACAGCTACTAAATTTCATTACAGTTATAAAGCTGAATTAGTGCCAAACAGGATTTATTTCTAATTATTAGTACATAATGAAAAGACATATTAAAATCTACTTATTTGAGACACTTGAGGAAATTGTACATGATAATATAAGGTATTTTCAAAAAAATTTTAAACAGCTTTTGAAATTTTAATGTGAAACCCATATGCACAACATTTCAAAGGTGTATTCTATCATTTAGTGTGAATAATAGTGGGAATGTACAGAAATGCATAATTATTTTCATCTTTATTTTTATGAAGCTTTGCACTTAGCCCTCCTTGCTTGATTTGTTCCGGCCAATCCCCAAATCAATTTTTTCATTCCCCACTCCCATATTTATCTAAAAATTGTTGTGTGCCCAATAGAATCCTTGCAAAGAGTTTCAATTTTCTATCACAGGTGCCTGAATTCAGTTTTGGAGTGCACTGCCAAAGTTAGGAAATTCTCTAGGTTTACCTTCTGCTTTTTTTTTTTTTTTTTTTTTTATGATTGTGAAAAACATGTGCTTTGGTTTTCTTCTTTCTTGCTTGCTAGATTGTAAATGGAGTGAATATTATGAATGAAAATCTTATTTTGTCACTCTCCTGCTAAAACTCTTCAATGCCATCTCTTACTTTCAGGATGGCGTACATACTACTTGAAGTGGCTTTTTACATCCTTCAAAATCTTATCTGCTCAGCTTCATTTTTTGCTACTTTAAGCTCCAGCAATACTTAGGTTTTTGTATATAACATTTCCTTTTGCTACCATCTGGAAATACTGGTCCAACTCCCTATCTTCCACTTCTCTGTGTTTGTCTATCTCCTTTTCATTGTTTAGAGCCAGTCCTAGATGCCACTTTTCTCAAAATCCTTCCCTTTCCTCATAAATCTGGAGTAGAAGCTTTTCCTGTGTTTCCACAACATCTCTGTACCTGTTCCATCATACATATATCATATTGCTATTACCTGTTTATGTTCTCCATCAGATTATAAATTGTGAGAATAGGGCATGCCTCTCTTATCCATATTTTAAAAATCATAGTATCAAGCACATAATAGCCTTTAAGGAAGTTTTGTTTAATGAACAGATATAAATACGATGAGTGGCATTGAAAAAGAAGGAAAGGAAAGAAGGAAGGAAAAATCATGACTACTTGGATTTACTAACAATAAGGAAAAAAATTATTTTTCTACTACTCCCTTTCCCCTTCCAGAATTTACTGGTGAGCAAGGAATCCTTTCTTAAGAGTTTGATGAAAACAGGTTAAAGAAAAATCTGCAATTTTATCACATTGTTTATTTCATTTTGTTATTGTAGTGGAGATGATGTCTACAGGTTTTTAATATGTTACTCTTCAGAATCAATGCATTTTTAAAATGTTGGCTTTTAAAAATAATAAGTATGCTATATTAACTGTATCTAATTAAACGTAGAAGTGGAATTCTATTTGTAACAAAATTATTCTCACAAACAATAATAATTAAAGTCTATATTTCTATATTTTAATGCACAAATAAAACTGAAGAACCTGATTATTTTACTTATTGAGTATATATTTTTAGTGAAGCTCTTTCTGTAATTAAAGATATTACCTATTAAATTAATTGAATTTTATTTCATTAAAGTATTAATAAAATTGTTCATGTGTTCCAAGTCTTCCTAATAATTTTATATTTCTATTCTCAGGACATTTGATAAACTATTTAAGAGTTATTGTTTGACATTGCAGCTGCCTGAAGCTGCAATAACAGTTGTGGCCAACAACTTGAAAGGAAGATCTAGACAATGAGATGTCCTTAGGGGATCTTAAAAGCTTTACATATTCCTGTGGAATATGCAGGCCACACACATGTGCAGTTGTGCACTTGCCTGGGAAAGATCTGAAAGGATGCCAGTGTTTCCATTTCTGGCTGACAGAGAAGCACTGTGGGAACTGGAAATTAAGGCTAAGGGAGGGTTATAAATAACTACCCGAGTGCTCAAAGTGTGCCTCAATACATATACAATGCTCCTTGACAAAGGGCAGATGATTTATTGTTTCAAGGCATTTCAAGAAATCTGTGACAAATTATTGCTGACCACTAAGCAATTAAGCAGGGACTTCAGTGAGCACACACTGGTCTGACTGTAGAATCTACAGAATTAGTTCAGGAAAGTCACAACCAACAAAGAACAAAATATGGGGAAGTAGTGATCTGATTTTAAAAAATGGCTATACTACCTTATATAAAACATACATTTTTCAACAAAAACAGCAAAAGTTATGAGGCAAAGAAAAAAGAAACAAAGAAATGGGAAATGTGACCCATACACAGGAAAAGAAGCAGTCACTAGAAGCTATCTCTGAAGGAGCCCACATGTTGGCTAAGTAAATAAAGACTTGAAACAAACCTTGGCAAATATGTTCAATGAACTAAAAGGAGTCTTGTTTGAAGAATTAATGTAAAGTTTCAATATGCAGATAATATCAATAAATATATAGAATTATAAAAAATAAATTCTGGCATTGAAAAGTACAATTAAAAAAAAGGACTCATTCACTGTATGGACTCAAAATATTTTCTGATTTCCCTTAGGATTTCTTTTTTGACATGTTATTTAGGACTATGCTGTCTAAAATCCCCCTATTTAAGGACTTACCATTTTTGCCCCCATTTTTTATTTCTAATCTAGTTCTATTATTGTTAAAGCACATACTGTGTATAATGCCAGCCCTTTTTAATTTATTGAGGCTTCTTAGCCTTAATATCCTAAGACATGGTCTATCCTGGAAAATATTTCATGTGTGACTGAGACATGCTAAAGGGCATCTATGAGAATGCCACAACTAACATCATACTTAATGAGAAAACACACTGAATGATTTTTACCTATAATCAGAAACAAGGTAAGGGTTTCTACTCCTTTTTTTTTTTTTATCCTCACCTGAGGACAGTTTTCCATTTTTTTGTTCAGGTAGAGTGGGAGGGAGAGAGAGGAACAGAGAGAGAGAGAGAAACATCGATGTGAAAGGAACACATCGAGTGGCTGCCACCCGCACAACCGAACCGACCAGGGCCGGGGACAAACTGCAACCGAGGTACACGCCCTTAGCGGGAACCGAACCCGGGTCTCTCAGGACCGCAGGCCGACGCTCTAACCGCTGAACCAAACTGGCCAGGGCAAGGGTTTCTACTCTTAACACTTCTATTGAACATTGTAGTAGGAAGTACTAGCTAGTACAATTAGTTAAGAACAAGAATAAAAGGCATCTACATTGAAAAGGAAGAAAACATATATCTCATTGTAGATATTATGTCCTATAAATAGAAAATTATAAGAAATTCACTAAATATGCTCTCAAAACTAATTCATGAGTTTAGAATATTTGCAGGATACAAGGTGAATATAACAATCAATCATTTCTAAATATTGGCAGTGAACAATGCAAAGTAAAATTAATCATTTACAATAGCATCAAAAATAATAAAACAATTAGGAGTAAGACTGACAAAGGAAGGGCAAGACTTGTACACTGAAAACTACAAAATGTTATTGAATGAAATTAAACAAATTTCCAATAAATAGAAAGATATCCTATGTTCATGCATCAGAAGACTTAATATTGGTATGATGACAGTGTTATACAAATTGATATACAGATTCAACACAATATCAAAATCCCAACTGACTGATGTTTTTACAGAATTTGGCAAGGTAATCCTAAAATTCATATGGAAATGCAAGGATCACAGAATAGACAAAGCAATCTTGTGAAATAAGGGAAACAATTGGATTATTATACTTCCTGATTTTATTTTTCTAATTTAATTTTTAATATGATTTATTGATTTTTTTAGAGAGAGGAAGGGAGAGAGAGAGAAACGTCAAATTGAGAGAGAAAGATTGATCAGCTGCCTCCTGCACATCCCCTACTGAGGATCGAACCCACAACCTGGGCATGTGCACCGACTGGGAATTGAACTGTCACCTCTTAGTCCATGGGATATTATTCAATCCACTGAGTCACACCGACCGGGCCATACTTCCTGATTTTAAAACTTACTACAAACTCTTCAGTACAAAACTATAATATTAAACAAAATGTGGTACTGACATAAGGTGGGCATGTAGATAAATGGAATACAATGGAAAAGTCCAGAAATAAACCCTTAGAATGATGGTTAACTGATTTTTGACAATGATACCAAGAGAATTGAATGAAACAGAATAGTGTTTTTTAAAAAATGTTACCAAGAGAACTGCAAAAGAAGGAATTTGGACCCCTAACTTATGCCATGTGCAAAAGTAAAAAGTAAACTCAAAATTGATCAGTGACCAAATTTTAATAGATATAACTAAAAATCATAGAAGAAAACATAGCAGTAGGGGCTCGCTCTCTGGAACATGCCCACACCTTTCTTCCCTCTAAAGCATGCATCTTTACTTTACTCTCCTAAATTCGAAGGGTCCCCATGAGTCTTGCAACCAGAGGAGCAATGGGCAGTAGCAGCTTGTCCTGGGCTAACCCCCTGAACCTGTCTCCAAGGTCCTTTTTTCTCTGACTTTTCAATGAGTTAACAGGAACTCTGCCTTGACTCACTTCTCTCCTATAACGTTTCTAAAGAGTCAAAGCCTAGACTCTCTCCTGTTGCTTCTTCTACTCTAAGCCCTTCCTTTGTTTCACTGTCTCAAAATTACCTGGACGACAGAGAGAGAGAGAGAGAGAGAGAGAGAGAGAGAGAGAGAGAGAGAGAGAGAGAGAGAGAAAGAAAACATAGCAGTAAATCTTCATGATCTTGGGTTAGGCAATTATTTTTTAGGTATGACACCAAAAATACAAGTGACAGAAAAATAAATAAATTGGACTTCAAAGTAGAAGGGTTGTGCTTCAAATGATACTTTGAAGAAAGTGAAAAATCCAACCAGAGAATGAGAGAAAATATCCACATGCCATGTATCTGATAAGGGCCTTATTTCTAAACTATGTAAAGATCTCTTACAACGTAATAATAAAATGACAAGTAACACAATTTTTAAAATGTGCAGATAATTTGAAGAGACATTTCTCCAAAGAGGATATGCAATGAGCAATAGGCAGGTGGAAGGATATTCCACATTATTAGTCATTAAGGAAATATAAATGAAAATCACAATGAAATATCACTTCATGCTCACTAGAATGGCTATAATCAAAATGACAGACAATGAAAACTTTGAGAGAAGATTTAAAAAAATAGGAACCATCATGTATTGTTGATGAGAAAGAAAAATAGTACAACCATTTTGGAAAACAGTTTTGGGAGGCAGTAACTTAAAAGATTAAACATTGAATTATCATTTGCCTGAGAAATTCCACTCCAAGATATAGTTCCATGAGAAATGAAAATCTATATCCACTCAAAAACTTGTACATAGTTTTATAACAGTATTGTTCAAAATAGATAAAACTGGTAACAACCCAAACTTTCATCAGTTTATGAATGGATACACAAGGTGTCATATCATGCAATTTAATATCATTCATCAGTAAAAGAAACGATGTACTGATACATATTACAATGTGGATGAACCTTAAAAACATTATGCTAAGTGAAAATGCCAGTCACAAAAGACCACATATTGTATACTTTCTATTGTTTAGAATAGGCAAATTTATAGAGGCACAAAATAGATTAGTGTTTGCCTGGGCAGTGAAGGATGAAGAAATGCAAATACATACTCGGTATGCTAAAAGTTGGATTTAATCAGAATTGTGGTCAAATGCTTAAATATTTTATATGCTATATTAATATTTATATATAAATTCATTGAAATGGTTCATCTTTTGTATATCAAATTGCATAGGGAAAATGGTGTATAGCCTATAAATGATACTCAGATTTTTCTAAGCATCAATGATCTTGCTACAAGTAACAGCAGAAAATAAAGATTGTTTATTTTGCAAGAATCTCCATTGTTCTATTTTTTCATAGGTCTCAGATTTTTCTTCTACAGAATGTAGCATTTTGGGGGGGCTTGCGTTTACTTAAAAGTGAACAGTTTTAATGGAAGTATTTAAATTAAATTTCATTTTCTTCTATACTTTAGCTTGTTACGCTGATTTCATGTAAGTGTTGACATATAGTTCTTGATATTGAATTCTTTCTTTCAGGTATCTTCAGATCTTCCAATAGTGTGGGGAAAGCCACACGTCACCATAGAACCTGATAGTATGGTTCCATATGTTATACACATCAGCTCTTGGAAACGTGGTGTATTCAAAGGTAACCAAACTGTTAATAAAATATTATCTACCACACTAGTCCAGATACATGAAGAGAAGAAATGAAAATATAATTTACATTTCCCCTTTCTTATAAATGACCCAGAGGGAAATGTAGTTTTCCATTTCAGTCATTACCTTTCTAAGTGAGAGCTTTGAGGCACACATTTTGTCTAGTGCTATATATGTTGGCCATTTATTTGAATTTATTTGTGTGACAAATTCTTAGAAGTAGAATTATTCAATTGAATGAATTTACATTTAAAATTGTTATAATTTAAAATGGTTATACCAACTTATGAATCAAACAGCATCCTATGAGAATGTCCATTTATAGGACTATTATAATAAAAACATACATGTACTTAATTAATGCATGAACAAACAATAGGTTAAAATTTTTGGTATGCATGAAGTTTTTTTCCCGTGTGTCTAATAAAGCATTCATTTATACAAATTACACTGGTAGTCCATGAACAGAATTGCTTGTTTGGGAGTGGGCATAAAGGTTATTCTTACAAGCTATTTTAAGGAGGGGGGGGTAAAAACTATAGAAGTACAGAGGGGCTGTGATTTATGAAAGGAATAAGTTATCGTATTTGGAGGAGAATTAAATGCCCTGTGATGGTTGGATCCTGTTGAGGAAATTATTGTAATGTAGGTAAATGGATACGAGTTAGAGGTATAGAAAACATACACCTAGCAGCAATCTTATGTGCCCTGGAAGTACACTACTAACCTCTCATCTCTGTTTGCCCCAATAAAGAATGTTTTAGGAAGGGGTCTATACCTAGCACGAAAGGTATAGAAAGCTGCTCCAAACAAGGAAGTACAGAGAGGAGACTGAATGTGAATCTTATTAACAAGCAGAAGAGAAGGTTCAGAATGGCAAACAGTGATCCAATTAGTACTACTGTACTAGAATGTGCTGTGAAGAGCCAACCTATCCATCCCCACTCTCTGCTTGGCCTTAGATATCACCACAGTCATAGTCATTAGCATCTTCTGAAATCTTCCCATCACTCTGCAGACACTTGGCTTTATAAAGCCCATTAATAATTCTCCGTGTGATAGGTAGATTTTGAGCTATAGTGAATCTATTCCAAGCATTTCAATAAAGTAACATATTTTGCCATTTGTATGTAATTCAGAACTTAAGAAATATAAAGTTTAGTTTCATTTGAATCATCAAATGATAGTAATAATGGTGGATTTTTTTTTAGTTTCAGAATTTTAACTTTTTTCCATTATTTTTGATAAATGTAATAAATCTCGGTTTCATGTTGTATAAAAGGCAATGAGTTCTCTGTCTGAGAGGGAACATAAGAGGAACCTCAAACTGTGGAACATTGTTGAATTAGCAATGTTTATGACTCCCTAAACAAAGCCCCTAGTTTCTGAATCAGACCCTTTAAAGTTATAGAAATTTAGCTAAAAAACATTAAATAATCAGATTTAACGTGTTTCCTTACATAGTCATTTTTTGTTGGACTTGGCAGCATTTCTGAGACCATAAAATTTTAATACATGGTTTCACTAATTGGGTATAGACTCTTTTAATGTGTTGGTTTGAAGGACTTTAGGAAGAATTTGGGGCAAGTGAAAGGTAATTTAGGGTATATTATAAAGTGGGGATGAATTCATAAATGTCGCTACCCAAGAGATTTTGCAGGCTTCATAATTATGAAAAATATTTATGAGACATGATCATGAGTGTTCTTACCACAGTGATCCATTAGAATTGAATTAATGTTGCCATTATGATGTGGAGAAACTGAGCCTAGAGAGAAGGCTAATCCCATTTTAATTTTTATTGATGTTACTATTGGAAGACATCAACAATATTTAAATGATACAAGTGTAATTGCCACTAAACAGCTGTTAATCTGTTATGAAGAAAACTAGACTATAAAGTATATGAGAATGTTCCTATTTGTGCTTTTTAAAGAAGTATAACAGTGTGTGTATCAGTGGTCTTTAAAAATAACTTTTCAATTCTGTTTTTTTATTATATAACAATTATTCACAAAAGGCCTATAATTTGAGAAGCCTTGATAGGCATAGTAGTTATAAACAAAACTGATATTCAACTAATTATGATCTGTTGAAATAGTATAATAGATGCTTTTCCTTATACCTTGGCAAATACTGAATTGTTTGAACTCCACTATAATGTAACCCTTGCCTTGCTAACCACCTTAGCTCCTCCCCAGATCTCCTCGACTTCCCAACAATCCAGCAGCAACTAAAGGGTTAGCACATAACTTATCAGGGTGCCACAGGACTTTGACCCTGTGTTCTTTCTGATTTATCAGAGCTGGAATATAAACTTGTTAATTATTTTGAATATTACTACTGGATACAAAAATAGATATGATATGGCTCCTGAGTCGTAAATTCACATTTGGCTGTGGAAATAGATATAAATAAATCATCTCAGTACAAGATACACTCTGATGTACCAAAAGTCTAAACATGGCACTGGGGAGCATGGTAGTGGGAAATATTACCCCTAACAGTGAGGTTCTGAAAGGGCTTCTTAAGGAACAATGGCTTTGATCTGGATCTCAAAGGATGAGCTGGGATTTATCAGCCAATATGGTGGGAAAGACATTCCAGCAGAAGAAAGAACCTTATTGTAAACACAGAGATGATCCTTTCTTTAAATAATGAATAGAGGAATGTGTCTGAAGTGTGTGTGTATGTGGTAGGAATGCAGAGTGACATACAGTTAGAAATACAGGCAGACTTTGTTGGGCAGAGTTTTGTTTTACTTATTGCAGTGGGAGCATTGAGGATTACTGAGGGCCTGAGTCAACTGAGTTTTAGAAAGAGAAATCTGGAGGTAATAGATAAGATAGATAGGAGGGGCAAGAGAAGGCAGTCAGATATCTGAGATCATCTTGGAGCCTTTAACGATATTCTATTTGATTAGTTCTTTATATTAGTTTGTGCTTATTTTCACCAAAGCAGAGCCTAATAAAAGGGTTTCATTGCAAGTAATTTATTTGAGAGATGGTTACAGGAAGGCCTCTGAGAGAATGGGAAAGTACCGCAGGTCCTCAAATAACATGGTTTCATTCAATGGCAGTCACTTTGTTATAGCATTGATGGGCTGCCGTAAAACTTACCTCTTGTTTGTATCAGTTAGCCTATGGCAATACTGGCTTTGTCACATGTCATTTTGCTTAAAGTCACAGAACTTATTAATGACATTATATGACAATTTATTGAGAGATGCTGAAGGGAGAAAGTCAATAAAAAGTAAGCCAGATATCAGATTACTGCTGAGACTTAGGGAACTTCACTGGTAACCTTCTGAGAGAAGGGCAAGGAGTTTGGGGTATTTGTCCACTAACTCCTATCCATCATTGATTCAAGTTTGCTCTTCAAGCAGTGAGTCCCCACTGAAAAAGAATTATACGGAACCACTGGTGTGTAAAGGAAGTCTATGCAGAGGGGATTTTTACTGGGCACTGAGAGTATATACTGCAGTGGGTAATATGGCATATTGACTGGTAGGTAGAAATTTTGAGAAATGGGTAGATTTTGAATTTTTACATCAGCTGGCAGTGAGCTACAATTGTGTTTCAGGTGTGCCTGTGTGGAAGTTTGAATTTGAATGCCCATTTGGCCATGGAACCAAAGAGTTAAGATGGACCATACTTACATGAGAATAAGGGAAGACCAAACTAAGCCAGTGACAGTGAATTCAAAAACAGAGGAACACTTTCAAAAGAAATAAAAAGGGAAAATGATGCTTGAACAGCTTGGATTTCCAAGAAATCAAACTCTGAGATGGGAGAATAGCATACAGGTCATTTGTTAGCAAAATGTGTCATGATCAATGCTTGTGGAAGCAAAGGTAAATAATATTTGGCCAGGGGGAGAAGTTGAACTTCCATACAGGCCCAGTGAAAAGTTCAGTCAACCCACCGGGACCTCTGAAGGTAAGATGGCCCTTCAGAGTTGTCCTAAGTAGGAAGAAGAGGACTGGACCTTTATACTGCTGTTTTGATCAGTCATTGAAAGTGGCATACATATGGAAAGAGGTTTGACCTTGGGCAAAGCTTTGTTTTCAAACAAGGCAATGCCTAAATAGGGCTGACCTGATGCTCATCTTCCAGCATCTTTCCCAGTAGCTACAAACATAGCTCCTTCGTTTCTGAAAATGGACAATATGAATGATGCAGCAAAATGTCTATTGCAGCTGAGTTTGATGAAAGTTGGATATGGAAAGATAAGGGAGAAAGGAGAGTACATTTGACTCTAAGCAACCCTAAGGGAGGTGATACCATTAACTCCCTTGGAGAGAGAGAAGCAATCAGTAGGATAGATTTACTAGTTAGGGAGGGAAAGCCCAGTTCTTCCTTAATTTTAAAATTATCTTTTTATGTCAGGAAATTTCAGAAAAAAATGGAAAAATAATAATCATCAGCTTGGACATGAAAATATAGAACCTTAAGGGAAACAAACAAACAGACAAACAAAAACACTGTGTATGGAGACATGGCTGAAATAATGTGTTAATGACTGAATGCATTAAAACATGATGACAAATTCTCTCCTTAAGAACCAGAAAGTGACCTCTCTGTTCTGCATAAATATTAGAGTGCAAAAGACTAATATTACTGTTCATTATTACAGGATTAGTAAGTAATAAATTGTAGGACTACGGTAATGGCCTTTTGGTTATTTGTAGTAGTGAAATGTGCAATTAAATTTTCTTATGTCTAAAGTAGAAGCTTTATTGATATTAGAGAGAGGAAGGGGGAGAGAGAGAGAGAGAGACAGAAACATCGATGAGAGAGAACATCAATTGGCCACCTCCTGCATGTCCCCCACTGGAGATTGGGCCCACAACCTGGGCATGTTGGCCTGACCGGGAATTGAACTGGCAACCTCTTGGTGCAATGGGTCGACACTCAACCACTGAGCAACACCAGTTGGCCAGAAGCTTTATTTTTCATACAAGGCTAATATTTAGTGAAGATGATTAGG